AGCACAAGTTAGGAGTCATCAGGACTCTGTACCACAGAGCAGACAGCATCCCCACTAGCTCAGGAGCCAGGCAGAAGGAGAAATCCCACACAAGACAGGCTCTAGAGCAATGTGGATATCCTAACTGGGCCTTCCTAAAAGCAGAGAAGAAACCCAAACAGGACTCTAGTCAGCCAACAGGTGAAAAGGAGGAACCCAGAGCAGTGGTCATTCCATATGTTGAGGGAGTATCAGAGAAACTGAGACGTTTATTTTCTAAACATAACGTCCCAGTGGCTTTTAAACCCCAAAATACATTACGGCAAAGACTGGTTCATCCCAAAGATCCAGTCCCCCGGCACAAACAGAGCAATGTTGTGTATGCTGTTCAGTGTCAGGAGGGTGATCAGTCTTACATCGGGGAAACTAAACAGCCACTGGCCAAAAGGATGGTCCAGCACAGAAGATCAACATCATCAGGCCAGGACTCTGCGGTCTACACTCATCTCCAGGCCAGCGGTCACTCTTTCAGGGATGAAGACGTTCACATCCTGGACAGAGAGGAACGATGGTTTGAGAGAGGAGTAAAGGAGGCCATCTTTGTGAAAAGAAACCGTCCCTCATTAAACAGGGGTGGAGGCCTCCAGGTTCAACTGTCCCCCTCTTACAATGCTGTGATTGCTAGTATCACTCAGCCCTCTGTGAATAGTAAACAGCCATCAGTGTGCTAATGATCCATTGTTAGGCTGATGGTCCTTCTTGAGCATGTGATCAGCTGGTTTTGGTTGTCAGCAGCAAACTGGTTGATCCACTCTGAGAAGGTGCTATTTAAGAGACTGAGCTGAATACAGCACCTCAGACTGAGGAAGTCTCTCGGATGAGAGACGAAACGTTTCTACATTTTTTTGTTGTTTTGCTTTGTTTTGTTTTTTTGAATGTCCAGAGGACCAGATTTAACTTTTTTAGATTTTCATTAAAGTGTTTCTTATTTTACTCTCCGAGTCTCCGAGTCCTGCCTGCACCACTGGGTTCTGCTCCAAAACCATCACTCCTGACAAGATACTGCTTGTTTATAAAGACTTTTGGATGCCTCAAAACTGTCAAAATCCAAAACTGAATTGTCTAAATAAAGTGCAAAAACTGTGCAAAACATATCAGTAGTAGTGGCAAAATCGAAACAAACAGCTACACCAGTTATGTCTAGTGTTTATCTGGTGTTTAAGTGAGAAATGAGATGATCCCCTCAGTTTCAGAGCCAAATGCTAAATGTTTGTGAAAGCAAATATTTCTCCACACAAGAAGTTTTTTTAAGACAAAACTTTAAATGTTGTCATCACTGTTTGTTCAAATCAGGTCTCTATTGTAAATAAGTCCTCGAGGCTCAATGGGATTAACCTGTCCAAATAAAGGTTGAATGAAAAAAATGGTCAGAAGTAACACTTGAACTTAAACACACAGATGCTCCTAAACTGGATGAGCTGTAGAGACAAACACCAGACCTGTTTTCTAACAATCATAACAAATCAGAAAATCAGCAGAGTTACTGTATTTCACTGTTTGACAGAGATGAGTGACTTCACCTTATCACAACCTCTTCTGTGTCTTTGTCACTCTTCCTCCTCCTCCTCCTCCTCCTCCATGCCTGGCTTCCTCTCCTGATGACAGGATCAACTTAATCACAAGTCAAACTGCACGTGTCGTAACCAGCAGCACGGTGGGAGCCATCGATGCTTCCCCCACACCGAACATGGCTGCTGGCATTTAACATCACTCTCTTATTCCTAACATGCTTTAGCACATCAAAGCTAATTAGATTTTACACGTCGGTGCAAATGAAGCAGAATAACTTCATATGAACATTGCACCAGCCATCAGTGTCAAACAGTGGGGCCTCCAGAAATATATCAATGGGGTGTCCATGTGGGGGTCACATGGGGTGGCGCACCAAAATTAAAAGCCAATACAGATTTTTCGTCAATTAATTATGCTGTTCTTGTGAAACAGCGATTTGAAAACTTTAGTAACATGATAGTTAAGGACAGTGGTGATTTTAGCCTCTTTTTGGGTGTGCTGAAGCACCCCTAAATTTTAACTCAGCACACCTGAAGAAAAAAAAAAAAACATAATTAACATTTTGTAAAGAAACTCAGTTCTCAAACCTTAGATTCACCAAAATATTGAATAAATTTAGAATAAAAATGAAATAAATGATAACAGTCTTAAATGGGCTGGTAAATATGACCTTTTTTTTTTTAACACGAGTCAGATCCTCAATGCCACCTGTCAATCAATCCAGTACACTCATCACCATCTGACCAATCAGCGACCTCAGAGTGTCCTGAAGGTAAACACCCCTTACCTGCAGGAGCTGCACCCTTTTTCCTCCAACATTGTTGAGGTTTTGCTTTACAAACACTTTGTGGTCAGAAGGATTTAATGAAAAATCATCAGAATAAATGGTTAAACGTTGTCAGTGGGGAACATATAATTCACACAGGTTATCCTGAGCATTTAGAGAGTGGAATACAGTTTATTACATTTCAAAACCTAAACTGAGTCTAGAAAAATGTAAAAGATGATAAAGCCCTGCAGCCGGCCTCATGAGCAGCTAAATACAACAAGTTATAAACAGGAAGTACCACATGTTCATCTGTACGAAAGTAATTTCAGGTAAATCCTCCATTTTATCTCATAATTACACTGTATGCTTAAAGTTAGTTGTGCTATGTTTTGTGTGTTTTATAAGTAGATATATGTTGTAACTTCTGGTTGCATCAGTTTAGTCTTTGTTTGTTATGATCAGTTAACACTAGATAGCTTAGCGTTACTGCTTGTTGTGCCATTAACTCTAAAATAGTTACTGAATCAAGTGTTTACTTATAGGTAAACATAGATGTTTAAGAACCTGTTAAAATACACCAGAATGCAGGAAATGTCATCTATACTTTATTCAAACTTTTCTGAGGGAGCCCCCCCCCCACCCCCACCACCCCCCCACACACACACACACACACACACACACACACTGGTGTGTTCCCACCCCACACACACATTACAAATGCTTCTGATGCCAATGCCCACCGTGTTGTTCAAGCCAACAGCATCTGTCAACACTGGGGGCTGAGCACCCCCTAAAGGTCAGATTCTAGAATCGCCCCTGGTTAGGGAATTTCCAGCAGACGGAGCTCAGTTTTACATTTCTTACTGATTGAGAGATGATCACAGACCACACCAGATAACATTTAGAGTTCCACGACAGTCCAGGGTGTATCAGGAATTTACAAGTAAGTACCAGTCTGTATGATATATTCTTAGAGTCAAAGCAGTCAGAATGTATTCTGGGTTTCTTGCACTTGTTTCAAATTTTGTATCTAAATATAAAGTTGTATTTCGTAGATGTAATTTTTAAATGTAATTTTATATAAAAAGAGAGACTGACGAGACTACATTTATTTATAATTTGAACTGGCAAACTTTATTTGCATAAAATGATGTAAGTAATAAAAATACTTGCTTTAAGTACTCATTTGTACTTTTTCATTTCCCACTTATTAACTTCAAATGTTTATTTTTGATATTATTATGAATTTTTTAAGCATTGATAAAGGCGCTATATAAATAAACTGAACTGAATTGAATATTATAAAATATAATATGGAATTAAAAGTTCAGCAAGGTGCTCTTAACTGCGCATGCGCAAACTGTCCGGTTAACTGACGGACCCTGACACGAGAAGTTGTGACATTTTTAGTTACGTTGTAACGACAGACAGAGATGAGTCGTTAAGTGTGCGCGCTTCGGTCGGACTGTCTGTATCTAGAACCTCTGACAGAGCAGCCGACGGCAGAACATGACGGCTAACGAGGACCAGGAGGTATGATGATGAAGGAATGATTCAGCTGAAAGCTAGCTGCAGTTAGCGGCTAACTGCTAATGGAGCTGCTTTAAGTCACTGTTTTGTTTGAGAACGCTGTTCAGAACAAAATGTTAAATAATTCTTCCTCGGGAAGAGTCACGTCAAACGCATTTAATTTTTTTTTCTTATTTAGCATATTTTACGTGTGTAGCAGCGCTTCTGTGACGTCATAAACCAGCGCCAAATATCTACTAATCCAAAAAAGTTAAATCTGGTCCTCTGGACAGTCAAAAAAAAAAAAAAAAAAAAAAAAAACAACGCAAAAAAAATGTAGAAACGTTTCGACTCTCATCCAAGAGACTTCCTCAGTCTGAGGGCTGTTTTCAGCTCAGTCTCTTAAATAGCAGAATAAATAAATATTAAATTTACAAGAGAGACCTGATAAATATTATCAGGTCTCTCTTGTAAATGAGTCCTCGAGGCTCAATGGGATTTACCTGTATAAATAAAGGTTGATTGATAGCACCGTCTCAGAGTGGATCAACCAGTTTTGCTGCTGACAACCAAAACCAGAAACATGGGTGTGCTATGGGGTCTCCAGTTTCTCCTATTGTTGCCAACTTGTACATGGAGGAGGTAGAAAAGAGAGCCTTGACGTCCTTTTCAGGGACACCACCAAGTCATTGGTTCAGGTATGTTGACGACACCTGGGTTAAAATTAAATCTCAGGAAGTCCAACATTTTACTGACCACATCAACTCTGTGGATAAATACATCAAGTTCACACGAGAAGATGTAAAAAATGGCAAGTTGGCTTTTTTGGACTGTGAGGTCTCAGTCTCTGATAGAGGACATTTGCAAACTGAGGTGTACCGCAAACCCACCCACACAGACCAGTATTTGCAGTTTGACTCCCATCACCCTTTGGAGCACAAGTTAGGAGTCATCAGGACTCTATATCACAGAGCAGACAGCATCCCCACTAGCTCGGGAGCCAGGCAGAAGGAGAAATCCTACACAAAACAGGCTCTAGAGCAGACCTGGGCGTTGTACGGCCCCAGGGCCACATGCGGCCCTTTGGTTGACTCTGACCGGCCCCCGTAAGGGGAATTACAAAATACATATGTAAACAAATGAAGTTAACCAAATCAGATATAGATCCTCTCT